TAACTACTCCACAATCATTCTGTAGTTTTCTCTTTCGTAAATTTGCATTACAACGGGAAACATTCATATTAGTGCCCATTTCATAGGTTATCATTTCATGAAAATGAGAAAAACAATGAGTAAAAAGTGCTTGGGAATGAGTCAAATAATAAACTATAAACAATTGAATTGCTAAGAATGTGGTAATTTCAATAAATGTAAGTGTAATTAATTGGATGGTAAAAGAATAAGACTTTTTTTGCTTTTTAGATTAGTGAGGCACAATTTTTTCAAAACAGTTCCTTGTTTGATAATTGGGTGTTTAATCCAATTGAAAATAATTAAATTAAATAAAAATTTTAAGTGGTATTCTAAAAGTACATCAGCAATGGTGAGGTAAATATTACCATTATTCGTTAAAGAAACTGCAAGAAAAAAAGAAAGAAGTCCAAAAATATTTTTACAATATATAAATAATAATGTAAGAAATTTTCAGTAATAATGGATGAATATTATTCGAGCAAAGTTGCATTGCAACAACAATTGATAACATTACGACGTGCAATACTGTTTGCTGTAATTTTAGCAACAACTGCAATATTTGCTTGCATGTTTTCAATACCGGTATTTTACAATTATTTGCAATATATGCAAGTAAACATGCAAAACGAAATTGATTTTTGCAGGCAACGAAGTCGAAATATTTGGAAAGAAGTAACTAAAACACAAGTTTGTCTGCTTTATATTATGCACATATAATATCTGTTTTTTTCCTTAAATAAAAAAAGAAAAGAATATAGAATTTGAATCCTCGAAGTATTTCATTTTTGCTATTAATTCATTGCAAAGTTTAAAATTGCACCAATGACATCTTCCAATTTCATTTACAATATTTGATGAGTTTGTAAATATTATTTGAAAATCTTTTATATTTTTACACATTGAATAATTGATTGTAGAAAGAGAAAAAATTCAATCCTTCATTTTAAAAAAAGAGAAATTCGAGCTTATCAATGGGAATATTTCATTATGGATGTTGTTAGCAACATTTGTAAAGAATTTTTCAAATATATCAAAGCAATTTTTTTTCAAAACTTCAAAGGTGATATGAAAATGTTTGAGACATTATTGGTAATGTTTATTTGCTGAGTATGATTTAGCACAATCCGTTCATTCATTTACAGTACTTCACTATTTTTATTATTCCGTAATTGTCGTAACAGACCGATGGATAACAATAATATGCTTTGCACAAATATAATAATACACGAACTTTAATTATTTTAAGACTGTTGAATTCTGAATCGATTTTTTATTTTCTAATTATTAATTAAAAGTATTATTTATAGATTTTATTTGGAGGACAAAGATACAAACGATTGGCAAGTTTTGTTGGTACGATAGATAGTTATTCGATCAATAACCAACAAACATCGCCAGCGGAAACAGTGACACCCTCATGTTGTGGATGTGGTGTGTCACCACCGGGACCAAGAGGTGTACCGGGTCTGGATGGTGAAGATGGTCTGGACGGATTACCGGGGCGACCGGGTATGGATGGACGGGATGCTCCGCCACCCAAACTACCAGAACGCGTTGTTTTCTGTTTTGAATGCGAAGAAAGTGAACCTGGTCGTCCGGGACAGCCGGGCCAGAAAGGACCAATTGGGTTACCGGGCTTGCCAGGTCATGATGGATATCCAGGCACACCTGGACATCCTGGCATGCGCGGACCACAAGGACCATCTGGTCCTCCTGGTAAATCAGGTCTTCCTGGACGTCCTGGAAGTCCCGGGACTGTTGTGGAAACATATGTACCTGAAGGACCACAAGGACAACTAGGCCGCAGAGGAGAACAAGGCGTGCCAGGGCTTCCTGGTCAAAATGGATTACCAGGCAAGGATGGAGTGGAAGGACCACCTGGTAATCCGGGCTACGACGGAGTTCCTGGTACGATGGGACCCATGGGTGAACCAGGTATGAAAGGATCAAAGGGACCTGCAGGACTGTGTGACCACTGTCCACCACCAAGAGTGGCTGTAGGATACTAAATAAAATGAATTTCACTTGTTGCGTTTTATTCTGAATTCATTTTTTTTTCCATTAATTTGCTTCCATTTTCAAGGACTTGTAGTAAGAGTTAACTTTGCAAAATTTCAAAAATTATTTTATGTGAAATTTCAAAATAGCACTCAAAAATTATCTATTTATACCCATGAACTTACATTACATTAAATATAACTTCTTTAGACCGTCATTTATACACATTGTTAGTGCTGGCATTTGATCAAATTTCTTCAAAATTCCGAAAATATCATGTACACCATGTCACCATTTTGCATTGTTGAAAATGGAATTCCTTATCACCAAATACGATAGGATGAAAGCTAATGATCATTGGTGATATAGTATACTGTAATAAATAGAAATTGTCAATTTAATCACGTAATAAGACGAGAATTGTGGAAATATTATGAAATGCGAAGAAAATTTTAATTAATGGCGATAGACCAGATTCATAACTTAGAAAAACTTTTATGATCTTAGCTATTAATAGGAATCAATTTACTTAAGTCTACTTAATTTGTATGAATCAAACAATGATACTGTGTAATATATCATTGTTGAGGAGAAATTTCAAATAATATTCACTTTCTTGCCTTCTCTTACATTTTAATTTTTTTTACATTCTTACACAGAATACTTTATCATCAATTAAATTTACATTTGCAAATATTAATCATCCCTGAAATTAGTGTATTTTGTATCCCGATGTTTCACAAATTCCGATATATATTCATTTATTGCATTCACATATCAATATCAATTTTAACCAATTGAAAAGTGTATTAATATTATTTTCTATATTCAGATTTAGCTTTGACTGATATTTGATGTTTGCATTTCCTTGCAGTGATATACAAATGGCTATCTAATTTATGATATTTCTTAATAATTTATAATCTGGACTTGTAAATTTAATGCTCAATTTAATATCACGTTAAAAGGTGAAAAAACTTTCTTCCCATCTTAATAGACATTTATTTTTAAGTTGTGCAGTTTTTTTTTTCGTGTTCTTAATATTCCGAATTCTATTTTCCAAAAGATACTGACGATATTTAGAAACAAAAATTTAGGTAAAGAAAATGAACAAAAGTTTTCAAACGCACAAAATTTTGTGATCGTTAAAAAAATAGCAATTATGAAATTATCAAGTGTTGAAAATTCATTATGAAGCTTGTTTCCATTTTTCTGTATTTCTCAATTGACGACAAAACGAAAAATTGTTTTGCTCAGCAAAAGTTTTTTATCAAGCGGTGATAAACGTTATCACAGGAATTCAAAACATAAAAACTTGGAGAATTTGATTGAAAAAAATACAAAACTGGTTTAAGTACAACTTTCCTAAAATTGGATCATTTATTAAATGTGGACCTATTTGAACAGCACTTTAGTTTCTTTAAACTTGCATCATGACATTAAAATAGAGAAAAGACATCTGTCCATTTGAAGTTGAAGTATTCGTCCACAATCAATCAACGTATTATTGCTTCTCTATGGAATCCAATGTAAAAACTGAAATATTTAGAACTCTGATATAACATAAAAGAAAGAAAGAATGAGAACGATCGTAGAATAAATTTCCTGCATTAAACGTTTTGTTTAATTTAACATGAAGCACAATAAAATATATTTAACGAAGATGCTTCGTTGGATATAGAATTTACAGCTTAAACAATAAAACTATTCAAAAAATTTTTTCAAGGAAATCACAAGCGTATTTAATTGCAAAAATTTTGTTCTAATGAATCACAAACTTATTTAAATTATTTTTGGAAGCGAAAAAAATGGGGAGAATATAATTTGTCATCCATATTATTAACATTATAATTGCTAATCAGTATGATATCGTCGAATGCTTCAACAAAGTGTAACAGGAATAGTAAAAAGCAGCCAGAAAGGCTCTTACTAAAATAACAATCGCAGTAATAAAAAAATGAATCCCAATTACAAATTAAGCACTCTAAAAAAATGTTTCTTTTATGAAACCAAATAAACAATATCAAATTCATCGAAATTCTTTGCTAATTGCTTACAATGATATCGATTATGTCAAAAAAGAAGAGAAAGTGTTCGTCAACAGCGTAATCCTTGTGCAATCATCATAAACACCGCAAATGAACCACCCATTTTTGTAGAATACCGACCAACCTGCGCCATCATCGCACGTCCTCGGAAACCCATACTAAAGAATAAAAAACAATGATAAAATCATTTCGACGGATCTTTCTCATAGTAATAATAATAAAATAAAACACATTACCACTGACTGTGATAATAAAAATAGAATTTCCAAGATGGTCGTCAGTCAGTTGAATGCATCGACATTTAAGGTAACCTTACTTATAGATAAGAGTGCTTAAATTGCAGATTCTATCTTCAAATTAGTATAAATCACCACTACCAATTTGTTATAAATGATACAAATATGTCACAAATGACATATTTGTATAATTATCCGTTAAAGGAATAAATGAGGATTGTGCCGCTCAACATTACTCTCGGAATAACACCGGTATTGCGTACATATATAATTAACAATCCAGTTAAAACCAAAAAAATTTTCACATACAGCACACAATTACCATCTTACTAAGTGTTATAAAAGGAAGAAATATAGTATTAGGTGATGAATTAAGATTCCAATTCTAAAACACTAACCTGAATGCACTCGCAGTTCCGATAATAGCACCCGATGCACAACCAATGAATACCCCCATAAGTAGGCCCATTTTCATTTTTTGCCAACATGATATTTGCTGATGTCCAGCGACACCTTGATATTGTGGTACTGGCATTGTTTCTTTTTCAATTTTCTTCTAAGTTTTTGATTCGAATACCTAACAAGATGCTGCTAGAATACGATAAAATCAAAACAAAACAAAACACCATATTAACTAAAGCATCAGTCTACAAGCTTACAGCGAAAAACTCGACTTGAGTCAAATTCACTTTCAAAAATGAAAAAAAAAATAAAAACTTATGAAACATAAATATTAAATTTAACTTTTCATAAGTGTTTGACAGTAATACGCGAAATACTAATTTCGAAACACTAACTACTATGACAAATGTTTACTAAAAATCATTGTAGTAACTTATAGTGAAACCACTTCTTAGCTGGTCACTTTTAATATGAATATTCATCTACAACACATAAGAATTTTCGCAAATCAAATCCATTTATGTTTGCTACACTATCGTAATAAGGTTAACACATGTAATTTTTCCAACGAAGATACAATGCTTATCATAACTTTCATTTTCTTTATACGTTTAACCATATACGATAACAACGAAGTATCGTTGTTCATTAACGTAGAACTATATTGAAGATAAGCAAAATTATGGCAACAATCTGTAACAATTTTTACATTGAAGAACTATCAAACTGATTTAAAATTATTTAATACTTTTCAGCAGCACAAAAAAATAAAATTGACGAAATTGCTAATAAATTCATATGTCATCCGAAGAAATTTATGAGTTGGTCATGAAAGAACGCATATGTAATTCAACGAAACACTGATAGAAATATTAAATTTCCAGCAATTGGAAATATTAAAAAATTGCTCGTCTTTTAATTGCTCATAACTTCATTTATATATTATAACATTATCAACCTCCTGTTCGCACTTTTCTCGCTTTTCTCTTCTTGACCTTGGTCGATTAAGAACACAAATAGCAAAAATATCAATAAATACACAAACAAATTCAACAACAAATAATTTTTGTAACAAAACTATCGAACAACTAAAATGATTTTCAAAAAATATAGCAATACAGGTTCTTGAATTTGAGTCGGCTATGACAGCATTTGACTGAATCAGCCAGAAATATCACTAAATGAATTATTGTGATTAATAAATTTAGTAAGTTTGATTTTTTAATTTCATTTTCAACAAATAAAGTTGCATTAAAATTAAGATTGTTGTATTCTACAAACAGGAGAAACCCGAAAGAAATGAGAGAAGGGGGAAGTAATCAACTGCAAAGAAACAGAATACAAACTTTACAAATGCAATGCGAAGTTAAAACCCGCATAAGAAAAACTCTACATTCACAAAAGCTGAAAAGACTGCAATATACCAATAAAAAAATCGACTATCATGCAATTCGATAAATAAGATGCAAGCCCGAATCAGTATCAACTATATCGCTCAATTGTCCGACCTGAAAAAAATTGTCAATAATTTTTTGATTCGACATGTTTAATTTTCGTATAAACTCCAGGCAGCAACCATAAGTACTTCCTTATCTATCAGGCGGTAAGACTCAACAAAATCAGCAGAGTATGTTTCATGAAAGAAACCAGACGTGCCGATTTCGTTTTCGTATTATTAACTTTGCTCTAAAATATGAGATAAAAATCAATTTATGACCTCGTAACATTAAGCTGCAAAATATATTTCTACATTTCTCTTATGCTAACATTTTTAACGAAATACTATTATGCTTGACAGCGATAATTTTCAAATTTGTTTTAAATGAGGTAAAAGTTACTTCAAGAGCAAAAGCGGCGTCTTCAAAAGACTTTTGCATCTGTCGTCGTTTGAAGAATCCCAAATCACCACCTCGCTTTGCTGAGGAGCAATCACTAAATTCTTTCGCCAAATCTCTCAATTTTGATTTCTTATCAGATGCCTCCTCAATTTGTTTCCTATAGCCTAAAAAAACCTACTCAATTTTCCAAATTTTCGTTGAGGAGTATGTTAATTACACAACATGAAATTTAAAAAAAAATAAAGACGTAAAATAAAACATATAGCATGAAAAATTGTTTAATCCCTTGTTTAATCTCATTGTCCATTTTCGATCATCCAGCGCCCCACTTGCAAATGTTCGAATTAGAGAAAGCCTTTACAAGGATCATAAACGGAGTCCGATTCGAAAGGTCAGACTTCCATGAACGCAATTTTATTTCACAAATATGAAATTCCTTAAAAATTATAATCGACTAATTTTTTTCCTTTCGCGAAGGAATAAAAGTATTAGAAAACTAAGCCGAACCAGTCAAAATCTTCCTTGCGTCTTCCTTCGATCGTGTAATAACATCTGAGCGCCAAGACGAAGGACGCCTCGAACCACTATGTTTTACTAGCAAATGCGCACAGTGCACCTATAAATGATGCAACTTAGTGACTTGTCAATATATTGCACTTAAGTCAAATGAAAAGAAAAAATGCATTTGCGGTTCGTTTTTAAGAAAAATTCTGCCTCAACTTGACAGCAAAATTATGAAATGGCCTGTGATATGCTATTAAATATTAATTTAAAGGATTTATTCGAATTCATGAATCTGTTTTCTATCCTTCCAAGTCTCTTTTATGTAGAAGATGTAAAGCAAAAAAAAAGCTTTCGAAATATACTTCATTCAAGCTTGCTTGAGCTGGATCAGCTGGTTTTGTAGGTCGCTCCCACTGACTGCGACCAGTGTATACATTGAAATAGTAAAATCGGTCTGAAAAGACTACATAAATGCATTATAACGAGAAAAACTCAAAAATGAGAATACGACATTCCCAATTTTTCAGTTTCAAATGAATAAATTAGTCAGAAATATAATCTTCAAGGAAATATTAAACAAACTATTTGAGCGACTCATTCGCTTCTCCCATCCCTTTGGTAATTCCTTAATCGCTTCCTTCTCTTCTTCCTCAACTTGATCGCTATCATCCGATCTGCTGCGTTTCTTTTCTGGCTCATTGGACAAAGACATCGGAAACTGTACGTTAATCCAAAGTATGCAAATTTTTTGCAAAATATAATTTAAAAAAACTGAAACAAAGGTGATGATGAAATAAAATAAACTTTAAAAAATGCTTGGAATCAGCTTTCAGTGATCCAAACCTTTTCCGCATATCAGAAAACATTGTCTTTGACAAATGAGTGTTTTAAAAAATAAATTGATTATCCAAGCAACGGTATAAACTAAGAAGCATCATCCCTCTGAATAGATACAACGAAGTATTCCTAAAAAATGTTTATTGATATTATTTCAAGTTAATGCTTTTCATAAAAGAAATAAGTTTTTATCAGCAAATATCATTAAAGAATAGATATTGATCGCCAGAATGGATCGGTCAATCAGCAATGACCGTAAATAATTAGGGATTATTCTTTACAAGAACATAACATTTTATGACAAAATAAATATTTTATAAAAGGTTCCTGAAATAAACATCCAATCATGAAGTTTATTTGGCCATTAGTAATTCTTGATTATCAAAAAAAAAAAAAAAACTAGCAACATAGAATATAAATAAAAGCAAACAACAAAACGACAACTACACAGCAGAGCACTGTTTCAATCAGCCATACTCTTCCTCTAATTTTTCCATCTTTACCAATCGTCTCATATCAAATTTCCGCAAATTTAATGACAAATATGCACCTTCCAGTAATTTCTCAGCATAACTTCGCCCAACAGCTAAGGCATGTTGCATCCCCCTATTCCCAAATCCACACAGAAAATGCAAATTGTGATAAAGCAAATGTTCTCCAATAATTGGTGAGTTATCGAATACATTTACATCTTCATAACCAGCCCACGCACTTTTAATCTAAAAATTTCTTTAAAAAGTATCTATGAAAAAAATCAATCAAATTTAACAACATGTTATCTCCTGCTATTTCCAATGTAAAATATATATTTTACTTCAGCTTATTTTAATTTGACTTGCAAAGATATAGGAAAAGCTGCTTTAATCGAATGTGAAATTTATCTATAACACAATAAAGACAATATAAAATGAGGTTAACATCTTAATATGAGGTTGTTAAATCACACCAACAGTGAGGAAAATAGACACTTTTGCATTTACAAAAAGGAATAAAGTTTTTCATAAAACTCTTAGAATTTCAGTTCAGCTTTATACTGAAGTTCTCGTCTCTAATTAATTATAACGTGTTCTGATAAGCAGCTTAAGAGTTCATTAACATAAGAATCAGAGATGTCAGCTGGACAAAACTTACTTTCAAATTTTTAAATGCTGGAATACGTTTCACTAAAACTGGCCAAATATTATTATAGAAGTAATCGTAATCTACCTCCAGATTCGAATGATCAATTTTTTCATCTTCTTCCTAAAAAATTATAATCGCAAATACAAGAAAGGGAAAGGATGAACAAAAATTTATATTTCCCTCATATGTCCGAATTCCTCACCTTGCTTGGGATTTTTCCACAAATAAATGTATTACCGATTTCTTCCATCAAACAATAAACACCACTGGGATCGACAAGAGCTGGCATATCTAAGGCGGGGACATCCGGTACATGTACAACAAACATCATACGCTTCCGTGCAACAACTGGTATCTTAACAGCCAGCAAATCTCGCCCCTTCCCTAAAAGTTTAAAGTTCTTGTTCTAAATTATAGTTTAGATCTTTTTGACTCAAAATTTCCTGCTAAAAATGTTACAAGCAAAAGAAATGCCTAACCAATTCTTGCCATTTCGGCAATGCGACCAGACCAGGCACCGGCAGCAACAACAATATGATTCGACCGTATGATCCTAGCAGAAGCATCTGTCATTTGCGGTCGAACCTACAAATACATGTATTGATTTCCTTTTACAAGAAAACATAAAGAACATAAACGAAAACCCGGAGAACAAAGTTAAAATACCTACATAAGCCCCATAAATATGCATATTACGCCAAACTGCTTCATCAGCATCATCTGTAATACTGTGTATTTCTGTAGTACCATATCTTTGGCCAAAATAAAAACCTGAAGATACAAAACTCTCGTCAAAAAACTCATCCAAACTATTATGACGAAGTCAAATTGCATTGTAAAAACATGCACAGATGTGCAAAGTTCTAAAAATATTTGTTGTATACCTTCTATTTCTCCTTTAAGGTACTGCACACCCAAAGTAAGGTTCTTTTCCCGTATAGCTGATAACAATTGCCAAGAATCGATTGTACCTTCATTTTCTAAACCTACAAAATCTCATACATTATTTCCATGTCGTTTCTATTTTATTCCATACCATAACAAGCTAATAAAAGCATATTTATTTCCATCTCGTTTCTATTTTGTTCCATATCATAACGAGCTAATAAAAGCATATTTACCATATGATCCGAGCAGTACATCATCAAAATTGATAAAGGCAAATCTTGCACGTAATTGATCACGGCTTAACAAATCGATTCGGGCACCATTTCGCCTGAAAGATTTATTACTACCTTTTTCCAGTAATTTTATTAATAATTCTTTGAAACGATTTATTGATATTTCTCCAAATTTCTCTCGTACAGTAAATCTTTTGCAAAAAGCTCATGTAAAATTACACTGGTACGCAGATAAGTGAGACCGATATAATGTTGCTAAAGTAGTCATGCTTCTCTAATGACCTAGATATATGATCTTTAAAACTTGGTTTTAAATTTCTGCTATCAAAAAAATTAAGGGATAACCCCAGTATTTGTCTATTTAAAATTCAAAATCAAAATTAAAGAAGACGAGGAAGGAAGGCTACATATAATGAATATGAAGCGAGATCTATATTAATAGTATTGAGCAAACTTTTGATTCTGACCGATCAGTATCGACGGGAGAAATTTTCGAATAATTTTAATTCAATTACAGTTATACAAACGTTTGCACTTTCCAATTTCGCTTCAATCGATCTACTTCTTCGGCTGTGCGAGCCAAATACATGAAACCCATTGGTAAAAAGTGTACATCAGGAGGATCGTTGTCTAAAAACATTTATTATAAATCAAAAAGCACTATTAGATTTTAGAAGTATCATCAAGCTAATTAATTCAAAATTAGATTCAATTAGAGCTGTGAATAAAATAGAAGGTAGGTCTACCTAAAATTCGCAAATGTTCGCCAGCATGACGAAGATATTCAGCGGCAAAAACTGACATCGTTACATGCTCTGGGACTGAAAACTGTTGTGAAATACCACCACATGTTAACATCGAAGCACACTGTGCAAACTGTAAGTTGAACATTAAATGTAAAGAAGATAGAAAAAGCAGGTGAAAACTGACTTTCCATCTAAAACTCATGCCGTATTAACATTTGCAATGAAATTTACACTTAAAGAAAGTAAACTAGTTTTTAATCTCCACTATATTAGTCATTCACCATAATACTCGACACTGGAAATGATTTTGCAATATTGAAAATTTTGCAAAACACAAGAAATTTTCACCTTTATATTTCAAAAGTTAAATAAATCGATGAACTTAAAAAATAAAAGTTTGAAAAGTGTTGCCTTATCGTTATTCTCCACTACTACTACTTTGTAGTCTTCATCACGAAACGTTTGTTTTAACCAATATGCAACAGACGATCCTATCAAGCCGCCTCCAATGATTAATACCTGAAGAAACCTTAACTTATGACTTGTAAATTTACATGAGTGCTCGATCTTCACTCTGACTAAAAAACAAAAAAAAAATTAAGCGTCTTCAAACTTCAACACAGCAGCATGTTTAACAATGAAGTAGCAAGTTTCACTAACTGGCATTTAACCAAACAATATCAGAACAGATTTCTTTTAAATAATCCAATTTCTGCCGCTCGAAAAAACCAGAAAAAATTTTTTGGGAACTATTTAAAAACAAAGCAGACGTTATGAAGACAATGCAAGTGATAACCACAATCAATAGCTGATTAAATTACTTGAGTTTCGAACGGAAACAACTCAAGATCCATTGTATGTCGTTTTATGTGTGCAATGGGATTATTCCTCTGATATGGATCCATTTTGGCCTAAAATTCATGCAATATAATTTATAGATCATGGCGTCATTTAAAACTTAAAACCAAAATTTCGATTGTTTAGCAAGCTCTTTCGATTTTAAAGAGAAATATATCAAAAAAAGGACAAAATAGTCTGAAAAAAAGGTGAGTTGAAACAGTGCTGTTATCATGATGGCTGAAAAAAATCAAAATATGTCTTTTAGCAGTACATATCTGCTTAGAATAAGTAATGGAATGAAAAAAAGATGAAAAAACAATGCGAAAGTTGGTATTACTTCTTTCCAGCGCCTTTTCCACCGCTTTACATCATATTTCAAAGCATACCACATCCGTTTCAAAACATCTTCTCCAGGCTCGAAATGTCGTTCGTTTTCGAAGTCTAAATATTAATAATATAGTATCCATAAAAACAGAGAAAACACACGAAACAAAAATTGTAATTATTTCTTGTCTTTCTCTTTCGCCGCTCTTCTATAAACCAAAAAATCATAAAAGGCTGTTAGTAATACGATCAGTTAATATGTTACGTAGCTCAATAAAAATCGGATCGATAAACAAGTAAGTTGTATGGACCAAGCAGCTAAAAGCCAAAAAAATGTTCAATTTACTCAAACCATTACTAACAATTATGTTCAAATCTATGACAAAAGATCAAATCTAAGACTTACTCACTTTGCCATCTGGTTAAGGATGTTGTACGAAAGCATGCTGCATTTATCCTGTATAGCCGTAGCTGACGAAAATTTGTTAGAATATTTTTCGTTGTCCACATTGTCTGTAAAATAAAAAACCTATGGTGATTACAAAATTCATAATAATTTAATAAAACTCTTATTCAGCTGTAAATACAAATAAATGTAGAAAACAGCGCAAGAGAGAAAGAAAACTTTTGCTTAAACTATTACAGACTGTACTGAATAGCTTCAGCTGGAAGACTAAAACAAATGGTGCATAGCTTTGATTTTCCTTAGTTCATTAAATGGAATTTAAATGGAATTTTTAAGGCTATGTATGGAAGAAAACTTCTCTCTCCTTTTTTGTACTAATATTAATTCTAAAAATATGAAGCAACTGATTAACTAACTCTTGATGTAGCTAGGAATTTCTTTCAGCTAGATTTTTTTTAGCACAAATGTCATAATCATCAAAAAATGAACTTTTTTTCGATAGAAAATGAGAAGAGTTGTACTATAACATTATCAAGAAAACAAAAATCTGTAATAACAATAGTTACAATCATCAGATCCACAAATAAAACAGATTTAGAGAGATACAAGATTCCAGAACATTTAATGTATTCACCTCAAACGGCTCAAAAATCATCAGAAATACATCAACTGAACTAACTGGTAAAAAATTGCAATCTCCCTTATATTTTCCTGCCCCATCTTTCATTACTCTTAAACACTGTGATCTTGATTCCAGTTGATATTTCAACATTTTCTCAATCTATACCGACATTACTTTCTACTTTTTGCATTATTTCTTACTCTCTCTTTAATTAAAACTATATATCCCTTTCACACTTTCTAACTGCATGATATCTCGTAAATTTCAGCAATCTCTGTATTCCATAAAATACAGTGCCTTACAAATACTCGTTCAATCATAACCTCTCCCCAAACACCATTATATTTCCTATCCTCTTCTAGTCGTTCCATATATGACTGCAACGTTGCATTCTTGTCGCATGCTACAAATCATGAAATACAACAATGGAAAGTAATTTCAGAGTTATAAAATTGATTAATAATTGCTAATCTTCTGAGAAAGCATAACTCGACGGTACGGTCAGAATTTTAGTATGCCTATTAAATTTGAGAAAAAATACAGGATTCTTAAGCTTTAAAAATAACATTTTATTAAATCTAGCTGAAATTAATTATTCCATTAGTAAAACTATGAAAATTTGAAAATGCATTGCTTGAAAAAATACTGATTAAATATGAGAGTTGAATAAAAGAGAACTTGAACAGGTAAGAGTTTATAATCGGAAATATTTAAAATCTTGAAATTCCGGGGTGAATATTTTTTTTTAAAGCAACCGTCAGTAGCAAGCATATCCGCGTTCATTAAATTTCATTGGCCCTTGGATAAACATAAAATGCAGTGAAATCTTTTTATATTTCCAAGAAGAAAACCTTCTTGTTTCTTTATTACAGTACAACTTTATTATGTCTTTAAAGGAAAAGTAATTTTCCTGCACTTTTTATTTGTTTTTTTTGGTGCCACTTTTTTTATTTGGAATATTTAAAAAAAATATATAAATATTGCAAAGGATTTGAATCTTATAATTATTTACATATAGCGATGTGTGCACAATGTTTTATAGAGCGGAATTACGAATATTTGGTGATTACTTCGGAACTACTATTTCGGACCAAAAAAGATCGTCGTAGGTATGCGCCAGCACATTTGAGTAATTCCATAGTTGGTAAGAACAGATTCTTTTTTAGTGGTTTTGAAAGATTTAATACCATCAAAGCATTCGCGCTGGACTTCTTGATTATCTTATCGTTTAGACGAATAACCGAATGGATTTCACGTATTGCACGCCAAAAAACTGACTGATTTGTAAAACTTTGGTAATTATGATGCAATCACATTTTGAATCATTGAGTTAATTAAGATTATCATTTTTATGAGTCTAATTTACCAGAATACCTACACTTTGCTAAATTTTGGCTATTCAATTTGCGGTGCAGTTTTCGCCACTAACTTGAAAGTTCAATATATACATATTTGCATACATGTTATATTTCGACATATTTCTGTTATCATTCAGTTATCAACACTAGCGTGTTAAAATAAAATGTTGAGTAAAATCGTGAAATAATTTCAAGAAATCTGTATTGTTACTAATAGTGGTATCATTGAAGAACATTTCTTTCTTGATAAATTTAACATACATTTTGTAGTGATCGTTGTATTTTATATGCTATCCGGAATTCTTTCACAGAATTTACAAAGTAGTTTACCAACATTTTTCCCTTTTAAAATATTTAAAATATATAAAAATTATTCTTAATATTTGATTTCAGAATTATTTATTTAATCAGTGTTTTCTTCCTAAAATGTATCGTTATCAAAGTTTGTAGTAGTGATACATTTTACAAAAAAATAA